TCTGCATCCACTCTGTCAGCATAAAGAACAAGATTCCGATTTTCAACACAAATGTGAAGGCAGTCAGTTAGTAGCCTCTATATGGGTCGGAAACTTGGAGTGTGTGTCACGAAAAGGATTTCCAACAGGCCACTGCAGACTTTTATCAACAGGTGCTCCCTTTGCTGGCTGGCTCCACAGTGAAGTTCAAATGACCAACCAGCCAGAAAGAATTAGTAACTAGAAACTGTGAGTGGGAATTAACCAACCAAGAGCCGATCTCTCAACAAATATGTAGAAGAAATGGAGATAGATCAGGCATTCATTGAGGAGACCATCGAATGACATCGCACTCAACGTAGGCCACCTCTCGAGTAGAATCCAAATAGCATGCAACGAGCGGGGCGTCAGTGTGAGAGTTACATGGAGGAGATCTTTCGACGAGGACATAACATATTATGGGGAATCGTGTACCAGCTGAAGCGGACAACATCAAATAGTACAAAGTGGAGATGTGCTTTTGAAGCTCTATGTTCCACTCGGAACTCAAGGGAATAATAATAGGGTGCAGCAGGTCGGGTGTGAGGACAAATACTCATCGAAGATGTTGGCTAGGGGTCGCGCTATGTCTTGAATTGGCAGAAGTTAGAATTCATGGGCCACTGGATCGGGTCCCAGTGGCTTAATGGTATACGAGCACGCCTTGTAAACCAGAAGGTCCTGGGTTCGAATCCCGGTGGGTGCGTACTGTGAAGAGTCCCAAACTAGGACGAAACAGCTGTCCAGTACTCCCAGGTTTTTCAATGGTTCTCTAATTAATGTCAGCTCATGATGAAAATCCTGTAACCAATCAAATCCCTACAAACCAACACTTGAATAATACTGACGTCTGTGCTCAGGATTTTGTCTAGCAAGATAATGGAATCTTCGCAATTAAACCCTTTCCTGTCTACAGAACACAGTTGCATCCAAAGCAGAAATACTACCGCTAAATTAACATGTGATACATAACCATAGACCAAAAGACTAGTAAATAAATTCGTGTTTTTAGTTGGAACATAGCAAATCATTGATAATTCGTTCATTAAATGAGATGCCTGGTTTCTATACCTGATTGATTCACATTGTGTCAACTGATGAAGAGTCCCAGACAGAGACGAAGTTTATTTCATGTCCTCCTTGGCTTATATCGAATTCCTAACTGAATTTTATTACGGACACCCTCCGTAAGCTGAATTTTATTCGCAAAAGAAATCTTCATTGAGATTAACTAAATTCGCTAAAGAAACAATAAATCCCAACGCTTAGTTTTTGATTATCACTCAACAAAAGGTGATAACGTTCACGTGAAAGTAGTAATTACATTTTTTCTCATAATAGAGCATTATGTTATACAAAAGATACATGTATAATAAAATGTGATATTACAAAGCCTGTCTCAAGACAAGAAAAAACAAATAAACATAGTTTTGTCAGATTTTTTGTCATATGAAGGAAAAACATTCAGCATATCTTGCGGGAATTTTAAAAAAAAGTGCATCTCCAGATATGGTGAATTGACTGGTAGTCAACCTCGTAGATAGTTTTCTATTGCAGCTGAAGGATATTCAACCATCATTGATATAATATAGGCCATGAAATAGCTGAATACTGTTATTGAAGCGGTCAACTGGACCTGAACCAATCAATGCAAAGAAAACAATAATCACAATTGATTGATTTTTGTTTCATTCTGATTATTTGAAATTTATTGATTAAGTCTTACCTGTGATCACTGGTGGTCTAAAACTGAGCAGTACAATTTTATTATTCTGGTGTTAAATAGATAGATAACAAAGAAAACATTGGTTGGTTCCGAATGGTGACCTACCGAAAAGAACCTCCATCAATATATTGACTGACTGACTGACTGGCTTCAACATAGAACTTTGCACAGATGTTCAGCAGTTCAAGTCGCCACACTCCCTCCATGCAGAACACAAAGCAAGAGAAGAATGCAAAATAGAGACAGTAAACAGAGATATGAGGCAAAAACAATAGTAATAACGAAGAACAATATAGTTTCATTGGGTCATTATAAGTCACAAGGAGTGAATGTATCTGCGCCAATCAGAACGATTTTAAGGCATGTCACCGATTGTATCCAGCCTTCATTGGTTATTACCGTCCCGAGGACCCCAAACAGGAAGCCAGTCTACACCTCCCTACGTGGGTTTCATTGGCTGATGAAGCCATGATTTGGTTTGACCACCACTAGCTGTTTTCCAGCCTGACCCTATGGCAGTCAGCTGACATTAGGCTCAGAGGAAGGCGATGACTAGGCGTGAGTAACACATATCCCAATCATCTCAGTCGATGTAACTTCACAGCCTCGTCTGTTGATTTCCCCTCTCACCTAACTAGCACTCGACGTCTCACCTCAATATTGCTCACTTTATTATACCGCTTCACACGGGAGATAGAATGCAGACACCTATGGTCAAAGACAACTAGCTCACCTTTTTATATCTACCACTCTCAATGGCTAAGTCTCACAGCCATAATGGAGGACGGTGCAGACTGCTCCACTGAGCAGTACACACGTCCCTTGGTCGATATTATTATCATTTATTATTATTGTTTCCTTTAATTCCTAGAGGAACACAGGGCTTCAGCCGTGCGTCTCCATTGCGTTCGGTTCTCTGCTAGAGTCTTCACCTGGCTCCATGTCTGCCCACACGTTTTCATCTCCTCTTCACATGACCTCCTCCAAGTCACCCCATCTTCGCACTGACGAGCAACTCGCCGCTTCCCTCTCGGCTTCCACTCGAGCAATGGCTTGTCTAGTGATGTCACTTGATGCTTTCCTCAGAGTATGACCAGCCAATCCATCTTCATTTCTTCCTGCCTATTTGTTTAACAATCGGTTCCTGGTTGGTTGGTTCGCTCATTGACAGAGATCTCTGTTGCTGATCTTTTCTGGCCGGCTGGCCATCTGATCTTGAGTATTGAGCGAAGACAACTGTTAATGAAGGTCTGTAGTTTGTTTGAGATGCTCTTTATGACGTGCAGTGTAAGTCTCTGATCCGTTTAGTGAGTAGCACTGACTTCACATTGGAGTTGAAAATCCGGATCTTATTTTTGATTCTGAACAGTGCTGTTGACCTCCACACAGACTTGAGAGCAGTGAAAGCTTGTCTTGCTTTTCCGATCCTTGCTTTGATATCCTCGTCAGTTCGGTCTGCCCGTAGTTGAAACGTTTCTTCCTAGGTAGGTGAAGGAGGTTGTTTCTTTCAGGTTCCTGCCATTTATGCTGGCTGACTGTTGTCTGTTGTTGTTGTTGCTGTTGGAGGTGTTGCCCAGGAATCTTCATCACCTCTGTTTTCACTATGTTCACCTGAAGTCCTATCTTTGATGCTTCTTCTTCCAACTTGTTGCTTTTCACTTGCATATCTTCCAGTTTGTTGGAAATCAGACATATATAATCGGCGAAGTCCAGATGCTCCAAGTTTTTTGTGTGAGTCCATTTTATGCCTGTTTCCTCATTTCCCGCTGTTTTTCGCATTATCCAGTCTACTGCAATCAGGAAAATCATTGGCGATAGTAGGCAGCCAGCTTGTCTTACTCCTGTCCTCACTTCGAAGGACTCCGTAAGTTTCCGGTTGTGGACTACTTGGCATGCAGCATTGTCGTACAGCTGTTGGATGAGATGTATAATTGTTGGTGGCACCCCGTAGTAGCGAAGTATTTGTCAAAGCACTTCTCGATCGACGCTGTCGAAGGCCTTTTCAAAGTCGATGATTTTGAGATGGAGAGCTGACTACCATTCCTGGCTTTGTTCAATGATGATCCGTAATTCAAGCAAACTGAATAAGAGAAATGAAATATATGCTAATATGTATTGATGGAGTTTTGATTCGATAGCCGAAGTCTTTAACAGGCTGCTGATATTTGTCATTTTTAAAAATTGTCATATAGGCATGCTTATTATTGTTTTGTTGATTAGTTATCTGAAGATATATGAGAGTACATGAGAAGTCATAAATGCTTGAAAGGAATTAAAAATTCTACAGAAAAGAACAAGAAGCTTAGCATAGATGTCCATCCTTCCAGAGATTTCACCCTCATGAGCTCTACATTCCGAATTTCTATACACAAGTTCATATAATCACCATTATTATTCAATTCAACATAGTAATGATGAGACAGATTAAAGACGATAATCATTTTCAACTTGATATGAAAGTTTAAAGTTTGAATACATATCACAAGGGGCATAGATACAAAATTACATAGTTATGATGGAGTAAATTTGTAGCTCACGTGGATGATTTTAATGTAGTTCTGTTCTCTGAGCTGGATGGATGGTTTATTTGTGAGGCTTTCATTGCCCCCTACTAGGTAAATTCTCCAGCAAGAATACTTAAATTTGAATTGAAGTGAGCTTCTAGATTTCTCCACTAGTGTATTGGTCTTCTCTCTCATGGTAGGTGAACTTGAACGTCGTCATTGGTTGTCTTTGTGTATTTTCACACCCTCTACGCTACTTGTGGTATTGGCAATGATTGTTTCCTTGACCTGAAGTTGGACCCTTTGTGTGTGTGAGAGAGAGATTTCCTTTTTATCGACTAGTAAACTTTGTCTATGTTGATGTATCTATTGATTGACGATTCACTGGAATATCAGGTGGGCTTCAATAAATTCTCTAGCATTCTTGGTGTTTCCTCTGTCTAATACTTGAAAGTTGGTTTTTCCAGTCGAATTGATATCCGTGGTTTTCTGTGTATTATTATTTCCTTTAATTCCTAGAGGAACATAGGGCTTCAGCCATGCGTCTCCATTGCGTTCGGTTCTCTGCTGTAGTTTTCACCTGGCTCCAAGTCTGCCCACACGCTTTCAATTCCTCTTCACATGATCTCCTCCAGGTCACCCTTGGACGACCAACTCGTCGCTTCCCTTTCGGGTTCCACTCGAGGGCTTGTCTAGTGATGTCACTTGCTGGTTTCCTCAGAGTGTGTCCAATCCATCTCCATTTCTTCCTGCCTATTTGTTTCACAATCGGTTCCAGCTGGGTTGGTTCGCTCCCAGAGATCTTTGTTGCTGATCCTCTCCGGCCATTTGATCTTGAGTATTGAGCGAAGGCATTTGTTAATGAAGGTCTGTAGCTTGTTTGAGCTGCTCTTTGTGACACGCCAAGTCTCTGATCCGTATAGTAGTACTGACTTCACATTGGAGTTGAAAATACGGATATTATTTTTGACGCTGAATGCTGTTGACCTCCACATAGACTTGAGAGAAATGAAAACTTGTCTTGCTTTTCCGATTCTGGCTTTGATATCCTCGTCAGTTCCTCCTGTAGTTGAGACGATGCATCCCAGGTAGGTGAAAGAAGTTGTTTCCTTCAGGTTCCTCCCATTTATGCTGATTGTTGTCGGTTGTTGCTGTTGATGTTGGCCAGGAATCTTCATCACCTCTGTTTTGTCTATGTTCACTTGAAGTCCTATCTTTGCTGCTTCTTCTGCCAATTTGTTGCTTTTCACTTGCATATCTTCCAGTTTGTGGGAAATCAGACATATATCATCGGCGAAATCCAAATCCTCCAAGGCTTTTGTGTCGGTCCATTTTATGCCTGTTCCCTCGTTGGTTGCCGTTGTCTGCCGCATTATCCAATCAACTGCACTCAGGAAGATCATTGGTGACAGTAGACAGCCTTGTCTCACTCCCGTCCTCACTTCGAAGGATTCCGTGAGCCTCCCGTTGTGGATTACTTGGCATGCAGCGTTGTCATACAGCTGTTGGATGAGATGTATAATTGTCGGCGGCACCCCGTAGTAGCGAAGTAGTTGCCAAATCACCTCTCGATCGACGCTGTCGAAGGCTTTCTCAAAATCGATGAAGTTGAGATAGAGAGGTGACTGCCATTCCAAACTTTGTTCAATGATAATCCGTAGGGTGTCGATTTGGTCAATGCATGACTTGTTCCTCCTGAATCCGGCCTGTTCCGGACGAAGTTTTTCATCTAGGGCTTGTTTAATTCTCTCCAGGATGATGCGACATAGTATCTTGCTTGGAATGGACAGAAGCATAATTCCACGCCAGTTTTTACATTGACTCAAATCTCCTTTCTTTGGCAGTTTGAATAAGTATCCGTTCTTCCAATCCTCGGGTACTTTGCCCTCTTTCCACACCTTCTCTAGTAGTGGCGTCATCAAGTCCGCTGTTGTCTCTGGGTCTATTTTCAAAGCTTCTGCTGGGATTCCATCTGGTCCTGGCGCTTTCCCAGCTTTTAGCATCTTGATGGCATTCAGGACTTCGGATTTCGTCGGAGGGTCGATGTTCATTGGTAGTTCTGCTTCCGTTGTTGGTATTGTTGGACGCGTTGTAGGTGGCGGACGATTTAGAAGTCTTTTGAAGTGTTCAGCCCAGTGCTTCCTCTGTTCCACCTCTTTGGTGATTGACTTTCCATTGTCGTCCTTTATTGGCTTAATCTGTGTCGAACTTTTGCCCGAAAGGTGCCTAGTTGTTTGGTATAGTGTAGCGAGGTCTCCTTTGCCTGCAGCTTGTTCTGCTTCGTTTGCCATGGTTTCACAATATTTTCTTTTGTCTTCCCTGGCACTTTTCTTCACTCTTTTGTTCAGTGCATTGTAGCTTGCATTCAACTCCTGTTTCTGTTGCTCGTCGGTGCACTGGATAATCTTTTGTTTCGCCACCCTTCTCTCTTCTATTAGTTTCCAAGTGTCCGTAGAGAGCCACTGTTTGTCCTGTCTCTTTTTTCTGCCTAGGACTTCCATGCAGGTTTGACTCCACACCGTTTTCAATTTGTTCCAGTGCTTTTCGACGCTGACCTTTTCGTTGGTGTTGATTTGTGTCTCGGCTTTTTCCCTTATGTTTGCAATGAAGATGTCCTTTGTAGCCTGGTCCTTCAGCTTTTGAGTGTTGAACTTGGCTTGTGGTCTATCTGCAGCTCCTGTTTCCCTGAAAGCTTTTAATTTGATTTGGATTGTCCCTTGTACGAGGTAGTGGTCTGAGCCAACGTCTGCTCCTCTTTTTGCTCTTGTGTCCAGTAGGCTGCGTCTCCACTTCCTCGATATTGTGATAAAGTCAATTTGGTTTTTGGTTTGCCCGTCTGGTGACACCCATGTAGCCTTGTGGATATCTCTGTGCTTGTAAACACTGCCACCAATCACTAGTTCGTTGAAGGCGCAGAAGTCGGCGAAGAGTTCTCCGTTTTCATTCATTTCTCCAAGAGCTTCTCTACCCATGATGAGTTCTCTTCCTGTATTGTCTGGTTTTCTGTGTGCAGGGTGGCTATATGCGGGAGTGAATGTCATGTATTTTGACTGCCAGTTTATGATCATAGATACGAAGACTAAGGGGATGTCCACTGTGGTCAATGGAGTGTTTTTCGCAGTTGTTACAATTTATTTTGTAGATGATGATGTTGGTGTTATCTTCGTTCGTTGTTGAGTCTCTCTTTTGGTTGACATAGAGCCAGCTGAGTGAAGTGATTTTGTTAGTTTGTGTGCGACGTCAATTCCTAAAGGTTTGAAGAGTCTTGTAGTGATTTCTGAGATGTCGTTTATATATGGTAGGGCGATTTTCTTTGTGCTTTCCTTGGGGGCTTTTGGTTTGATAGGTTGGCTTTGGGGTATATGTATTTTGATGAAATTCCGTGGATATCCATTCTTTTGTAAGACGTCCATGAGATATTTTTCTTCAATTTTCCTTAAGGTGGGAGTGCTACAATGAGTCCTGGTTCTCTTGAATAGTGTTTGTATGCAATTCCTCTTGTGTGCTATTGGATTGTTGCTGTTGTAATTCAGGATTTGGTCTGTGTGAGTTGATTTTCTATAGACTTGAGTTTCTAATTCCCCTGTCGTTGTTCGTTTGACTAAGACGTCCAAAAATGGGATTTGTTTTCTGATTCCTCTTCTCTTGTGAATTTGATGTCGTTGAAGACGTTTATCAGGTTGTGAGCTTTATCTAACTCGTTTCTTTTGATAATTACAAACGTGTCGTCTACATAACGTATCCAAATCTTGGGTTTGATCTTTGGTAGAATTATGTTTTCTAGCCTTCGCATCACTGCTTCTGCAATGAAACATGATATTGGCGATCCCATAGGTGTTCCTGTGACTTGTTCATATATTTGGCCGTTGAATTGGAAGTACGTTGTTAGACATTGGTTTATGCATTCCATCCAGCTTGTGTGTCGCATTTTTGATTGTTGTGGAAGGTGTTCGTCGTTGCTAAGTAATTGCTCCATGGTTTCTTTTGCTAGTTTCTGTTCAATTGAGATATATAATGCTGTGATGTCGAAGAACATCACTATTTCTTGGTCATCCTTTTCAATGCCTCTAATTTGCCCTGAAGATGTTGACTAGTAGGGCAGTGAAAGCTTCGCAAATAAACCATCCAGCTCAGAGAACACAACTATATCAAAATTACATAGTACAAGAAAGTAGTTTCATAATATGCGAAAAAAGCCACAAAATTGTTGAAAAATGCATTAAACAATTGCGAACATGATATCACACTAGATAATTGTCGCTTATGTGTTGTAAGAATTTCTCTCTCTCAGTCAATACACATGGATAATTTAAAGAGAGAATTCATACGATGCGCGATAGATATATTTTCATCCAGGGGAATATGGATCATGGTACTCTGAGATGCCTTGATATTTCTGAGAAGTAGAAGACATTGCTGTTTGATTTCCAAGATTTATTGAGATATATGATGTTGGCAGTTTACGCCGTCTGTGGTGTAGACATGATATCCGACTATCGACCAAAGGGCGTGTGTACTGCTCATCAGTCCGCTCCGCCCTCCTTTATGGCCAGCTGTGAGACCTGGCTATTGAGAGTGGAAGACATGAAAAGATTAACTGTCTTCGATCATAGTTGCCTGCGTTCTATCTCCCGTGTGAAGTGGTGTTATAAGGTGAGCAATACTGAGGTTAGGCGTCGAGTGCTAGGTAAGTAGGGGAAATCAATAGATGAGGCTGTGAAGTTACATCGACTGACATGGTTGGGACATGTGTTACGTATGCCTAGTCATCGCCTTCGTCGACGGACAATGTTAGCTGATATAGGGCCAGGCTGGAAAAGAGTTAGCGGCGGTCAGGCCGAAACATGCCACCAGTCAATGAAATCTACAACAATTAGTCTAAGCCATATAGGAAGGTGTAGACATCCTGGTTAGGGTCCTCGGGACGGTAGAAACCAATGGTTGGAAACAATTGGTGATATGGCTCAAAATCGTTCTCAATGGCTGAAGTAGATGCATCCACTCCTTGTGACTTATGATTCCCAATGAAACTGTTTTGTTCTTCGTTATTACTATAACTTTTATCTCAAACCTCTGTTTACTATCTCTGATATGCATTTCTTCTACTTTCTTCTCTTGGTTTGCGTGCTACATGGAGTGTGGCGACTTGAACTGCCGCACACATGTGCAAATATCTATGTCGAAAACAGACTTATGATGTTGAATTATGATGAAATCTGTCTTAATATATCGTCTAAATTGATTTACAAGTATTGCTTTTGTAGGGATTGTGTTTGACTGGTTGGAGGATTTCATCATGAGCTGACATCAGTTAAAGAACCATTGGAATATCTGCAAGGAGTACTGGACATCTGTTTCATCAGCCTAGTTTGGGACTCTTCAATAGTACGTGCGCATCGGCGTTCGAACCCAGGACCTTCTAGTTAGAAGGTAAGCTCGTAGACCATTCAGCAGACACTGGGACTCGATCCCATGGCCGGCCAGTCCATGAATTCTATCTTCTGCCGATTCATGAGATAGAGTAACCACTTCGCAATGTCTTCTTCGATGAGTTACTACCTCACGTTCAACCTTCTGGTTACGGCTTCCCATTAGAATCCCAGGTTGAATGCCTGAATAAGGTCATTCGCTAATGAGAATCAGAATAATTTTCTAGTGGCTTAATGGTCTACGAGCTAGATCGTCTTGTAACTAGAAGGTACTGGTTTCAAACCCCCTGTGGTGGATGCGTGCTGGTGAAGAGTCTCAAACTAGGGCGAAACAGCCGTAGAATACTCCCTACAGGTTTTCCAATGGTTCTCTAATTAATGTCAGCTCATGGTGAAACCCTTCAACCAATAAAAACTGACTTAGTCAAAAAAAAACTTTGTATAAAAAAACATGGAAAAAATCAATTTCAAATGTTTACTACTCACAGTTTTCAACTGATCGATAATGAATGGAGACTGAGTACCGTCAATAAAAATAGTAACAATGACAGGATGTATCAAATAGGCACAATAAGTAAGGCGAGCTGGTACACGAAAAGCAGACCATGCAAAACATTTGTAGATTGGCCCTGTAATAAAAAAAAATTGAAAGAATATAAATTCTTAATTATTTGGATTTATTTTTAATAAACAACAACAACAGCAGCAACATTCACCGCTAATCACCATCAACACGAGGGATTTGAAAGAGGTTACCCCATTCATTCACTTATCTAGGGAGAATTGTCTCAACCACAGGAGGAACGCACGAGGATGTCAAATCGAGCGAGAATCGGGAAGGCGAGAAACACATTCATCAACCTGAAACCAATCTGGAAATCTTCCGCTGTCACTCAGCCTGCATCAACAACAAAGTGATTCGGATTTTCAATACAAACGTCAAGTCAGTCAGTTCTTCTATACGGATCAGAAAATTGGCAGCGGGTCACAAAGAATATTTCCAACAGCCTGTTGCAGACCTTTATCAACAAACACTGTCTTCGCTCTATACTGAAGATCAGATGGCAGGAAAGAACAAGAACCAACAAGAAACTATGGGAAGAAACAAAACAAGAACCAATCGCCCAACAAACATGCAGGAGAAAGTGGAGATGGATTGGACACTCGCTGAGGAGGCCGTTGGGTGGTATCGCGCGTCAGGCCAATGCTCGAGTGGAACCCGAAAGGGAAGCGTTGAGTGGGACGTCCAAGGGTGACATGGAGGAGATCGTGTGAAGAGGAGTTGAAACAGTATGGACTAACATGGATGCAAGTGAAAAGTACAGCAGAAGACAGAAGCAAGTAGAGACGTGCAGTTGAAGCCCTATGTTCCACTAGGAATCCAAGGGAACAATAATAATAATTTTTAATAAAATGTATGTATTACTGCATGCTGACTTAAAAAGCAAATAAAGTTGGTCACAATGTTTCTATCTATTTTCTCACTTAATTTGACAGCTTTCTGAAAGGAAAGAATAAGGCTTTTTTCATTTTTATAGCTTCCATTTTTAATTTGTCTGTTCCCTGAACCTGTCGACCATTGATTAATTTCTCTGAGAGTTGTAGTACGGTGGAACGACAGATTGAGTGATGCTGATGTGGAAAGCATATAGACCAAAGTGAATACAGGAGTAAGATAAGACTGTCTAACATCCCACACGATGACATTCTTAATTGTAGTGGACTGGATTATGCGTCAGACTGTGCGTTGGGGCGTGAGAAGACAGAAATTCGCTGCACTGACCAATAAGATTACTCCAGAAGGTCTGGATTTCGTGCGTGGATAACTTTGTGAGTAATGTCACACACTCAGACACATCCAAATAAATCTGCTGAAGAAGCTGTGGCTTACACAGAGAAACGTTCAGAAAAATATTGTTTTGATACATTTGGTTCCCTTGATAAATTTCGATAGAGAAAGAAAGACCAGATTTGCAGTATAAAATGATATCATTCTATTTCATAGGTTCTCATCAGCTGCAAACTACCTAAATTTCAGGTAGTTTGCAGCTGATGAGAACCTATGAAATAGAATGATATCATTTTATACTGCAAATCTGGTCTTTCTTTCTCTATCGAAATATTGTTTTGATTTTCTTAAACACGCTGGGATTAATTTTAATAAATTTTAATGAATCAATCTGACTCAGTGCTCAAATTATTTCAGGAAGTTCGTAGCACCTGCGGTCTGGAAACTTCCAGTAATTTCAGAGATGTTGTGAGCAGACACTAGTTAAGTGTTAAAAGAGTAACTATTGTAACAACTGAAGACAAGGGCCAGGCAACAGATCGTTTATTAAGGAAAATCAACGCATATTTATAGATTTTAATGTACATTATTGTAGATTATTGTTAGTAGAAAATACAGTCTGTTGATTGGTTGTTTCTCACAGAAAGTTAACCTTGCATCTCTTTGTGGCTGTGTAGATCATCCATATGCTAACTGTATCTGCCTGCGCAAAGCCTTTGTTCTCATTTTCTCACCACCAATATTGGGGACATAAACATTGACGTCAATTACTGTCTACCAACCTTGACTAGCAGCCAGCTCTCACCAAACTATTAATGTAGTAAATAGACAAGACCGTGGAATTCAGATTTATCTTGGATACAAGGATGGACTAGAGACAGAATACAAGATAGAACAATAGTGTGGACTTGTAAATGTTATGGTGAAGAGTTCACGAGGATGGTGGTAGTGGTGGTGGGTGAATAGTGAAGTAGAATCATAAGATCGATAAAATAATTTAGTTTAGTAGAATTGGAAACTTAATAGTGAGTTGATCTCAATGAGTGAAAATCAAAATCAATATTGAGTGGAATGTTATGCATGAGAACAAAACACAAAAGCACACAAACAGGACAATTGCAGTCACATGTAGTACGGTAGTCACAGATTAGCCACGTTGTGTTTCTTTCTGTAAACAGCGGATGGGTAGAAGTCCTTTGTTGATAGTGGCTTTTGCGAATCGAAGTAAGCATGCTTTTCTTTGTGTATTGATTTTTTGAAAAGCCTGCAGGCTTTGTCTGTTAGGTGTTGTCTGGCGATTGCACTTGAGAACACTCTGCTGCCATTCAAACGGAGACTTTCAGCAATAGGCTCGGAGAATCTAGTAGACGCTGTCTCCTGTCAATCTTTCCTATGTCCTAGCTACCGTAAATTTAGGTAAATTTGTAAGTGCAGTAGGAGTTGACATGCTGAGCAGGATACCTATCTCCTTTTCACTGGATTAACGAGCATACTGTACTGTGTTGTAGAGTGGAATGAGTCTTGTGGTGGGAAATGTTCTTTTGGATGTACCTTTAATTCTGTTTTCCGTATTTGTGGATACTTCTTCTTCGGCTTTGTCCTCGAGACAGATAAAAACCTGTTTCTTTTCAACTATTTCGGATTTTGGTCTAGGGGATTATTTCTTCGCATAATATGTATGTTGTTCTATCTTGTATTCTGTCTCTAGTCCATTCTTGTTTGCGAGAGAAATCTGAATTCCAACGTCTTGTCTAATTACTACATTAACAGTTACTCTTTTAACACTTAATTAATGTCTGCTCACATCTCTGAAACTATGTTGCTTATACTCTCCATTTTAATAACTTTGTAAATCACCGTAAAATGTATGTTCAGACAGAATTTTGTAACACATTATTGATTTATTTAGGATGTATGCAGTTGAAGAGAGCCCACGAAGTAAGCACGAGCTCGTATTATCTTGTAAATACCTTCGTTATCTCTTTATTCAAACGAATAAAGAGAATTGGCAGTATGAAATACTCCTGATATCTTTTTTGCCATTACTTGCATTCTGTATGGTAGTTAGGGCAGCCATCTGCTAAAGTAACAATAGCATTTGTATGGTTTCTACACTATGGGGTTGTTAGTCTCACGTCTAACCTTCCCTCTTTTCTGGCTTCGCTATTGAATAATAAGCTCGACGAAGTTTAGGTGTACGCCAGCCTGGATTTGAACCCAGACAGCGTGCATTGCTGGTGAGCACTGCATCGCTGAACCACTAACCCACTGACACTTGATATCAACCTGTTCTAAATGTTCAGCGTTTTACTATAACTATACTTCATCTTGAGGAATTAATGAAAGAGATAGTTAGAATAGTGTTTTTAGAAGAGGGAGATTATCTGAAAAACAATGTGATCACACATTGTGGGTAAAATTTATTTTGATAAAGTCTCACAGTGTTATGCAGTAATATTTACTGATGACGTTTTGAGCACAATTTATTTCTGCTCATAATCATATCAAGGTACTATTCACACAACTTTCTAACTTCGTTTATATAATTCCATCATTATTTTTCATCGCTTGACTTGATTGGTATTGGTATTTTCTATATCTCTGGTATTGGTGATGAGTCCTTTTTGCTGCGTGTGTTGGGTGTAGACTTGGTGAACCAGACAGGATTCAGTAATCAACCCCTCTCTCTCTCCACCTACCTAAATTACTTCTGAGAATTTTTGAACCTCTCCCACTCTATTGTGTGGTTGTGTGTTAATGCATGCATTGCTATTGTTGAGTTTTTTTTCTAAATTACTCAACTGTCTTCGCGGGGTCAATCTTTCTAACCTCAGCTAAATTCTTAAGTTCTGATAATCTCACTACTCCCGATCTACTAGTTTGACCTATGTAGTTGACTTAAATCACAGTCATTGCAGAGTGTTTTGTAAATTACATTATTTTGTCTAATTGGGTCAACCGACAGGATCGTTTAACCTTCAGAGCTTGTCCTGCCTGAGTGAGTTTGTAGGTTTGAATGCCACTCTAATTCCTGCTTTATTAAGAATCCCCTGCATAGGGTCTCATTTGTCTCCTCCTTATATGCTAGAACTGTAAGATGCCTTATATTCTCTCTTATTTATGTTATCATTATTAGTTTTACCATTATTTTTATTTTGCTTTTGACCCCTTTTTTGATATTCCTAATGAATTTTAAAGGATGGTTAGTTATTTAACACCAACCAGCCATTCTTCTATCTGTTTCATTTCATTATTTAGGTCTTTTTTATTCTTTTATTTGTATAACGTTATCAGAAGAGGGAGATTATCTGAAAAATGTGATGTGTTTGCGTGATACATTTCGAACAGTCTGATCCCTCTAACACACTTACTTGTCAAATCAATTTATACGAAAAAAAATAAAAAAAGAGTCATTAAAGAACACAAAGTGACAAAAGGTATTCAAGAATAATAAGAATAATTAGCAGTACGTTTGGTTATCTAATCATATAATGATAACCAAGGCAGGTTAATAGTTATTATTATTTATTATTGTTCCCTTGGGTTCCTAGTGGAACATAGGGCTTCAACTGCACGTCTCCACTTGCTTCTGTCTTCTGCTGTACTTTTCACTTCCACCCATGTTAGTCCATACTCTTTCAACTCCTCTTCACACAATCTCCTCCATGTCACCCTTGCACGACCCACTCGCCGCTTCCCTTTCGGGTTACACATGCGAGCACTGGCCTGACACGCGATGTCAACCAGCGGCCTCCTCAACGAGTGTCCAATCCATCTCCACTTGCTCTTACATATTTGTTGAGCGACTGGTTCTTGTTCTGTTTGTTCCCATAGTTTCTTGTTGGTGATTCTTTCCGGCCATCTGATCTTTAGTATGGAGCGAAGACAGTTGTTGATAAAGGTTTGCAACCTGTTGGAAATATTCTTTGTGACCCACCAAGTTTCTGATCCGCATAGCAAAAGTGACTTCACGTTTGTATTGAAAATCCGAATTTCGTTGTTGATGCAGGCTGAGTGACGAAGATTTCCAGATTGGTTTCAGGTTGATGAATGTGTTTCTCGCCTTCCCGATTCTCGCTCGATTTGATATCCTCGTCCGTTCATCTTGTAGTTGAGACAATGCTCCCAAGATAAGTGAACGAAGTAACTTCTTTCAAATCCCTCCCGTTGATGGTGACTGGCACTGGATGTTGCTGCTGAACCAAATTGTTACAGAAACTTCAACGCACAAATATATTAAAAATTCTAAAAAAAGGTTAATAATAATAAGAAATGATAATTATATTTCAATAGTTTACACACAATGATAGATAGAACAAGAGACTTGACAAACGGGTTCTGGTTACAGAGTTCGAGGTTGTATTTATGAAAAGGCCAACGCCTCCGCCATACACAATTACCGAAACCTGACTCCTTTTGTACCATTTGGCCTCACCTTGTAAATAATCTTGAAAGATGACTGTGGCGGAGCTGAGTGGCTTAAGTTCACGAAGTGCTCGAGAATTGAGCTAGTAACTTTCCCGCATTATCCTTTGTGCTAACAGTTCCGGATAATGTTCAGAGACGCGTTTGGAAAGTGTGTGCTTTCTGCTGCCAATATAACTAGTTCGAGGATTAAGCTATTCTTATTCTATGAGGGGCTTAACCTCTTCACTACTCATTTCCGGTATTTTTCAAAAAAATTTTCATTTTAATGATTAATTTGCTTTTACTTTAAAAATTCAAACACAAAATAATTGAGCAAAGAATATCCTTTTCGATAAATTCCTCTTCTGGCTGTACAATTATGTATGCATGTTTATATACATAGAATATTCTAGATTAGTGGTCATTAACAATATTAGTGTTTTTCTTTAAATAATATCGATTTGTAAAGTATGATCAATGCAATTACAGTTCATTAAAGATGCATAAATTATAATAATAATAAAGATGTAATAGCAAATAGAATACCAACTGAAATTAGGGAAATTCCACAAAAATTCAGGATCATTCAAACCTAGATGGCGAAGGTAAGGACAATTTCTGAACTAGCTACTTTTGGACGCACAAATTAGGCTTCTTAACATGGAGCCCAACAGCCTCAACAGTATTTACTTAACGAACTCTTAAGGCAAAATTAAGATTTGTTAGTATGCGGTAAATGACTTTGAAAGCTGCTTCGTTGACATCAATCCTGTGTTCTGTATCCAGAAGATGAGATGGAACAGGGATGATATGAGTGGATTTTATTTGTCCTTCACTTAACCACACACGGTGATGTTTGGAAATTCGAAGAGGAACACGCCTAATAATTAATTCATTACTACCACTGTCACATGTTTCTTCTGCACAAATCCTTACCCTCTTCCCTTCTCCCTACTCAATAACAATCTTAACCTTAACAAATTCCTAGCATTTTCTTCAATTGTGCCATTGAGTAATACGTAATTTACAGCTTTTATTTTCTTTTTTACATCTAAAGCCACTTCTGAGTAATTATATGAATTATATCACCCCTTCTCCTACTACTCAATAATGGACTTATCTACATTTTGGTTCAACAGCTGTACGACAACGGCACATGTCAAGTGATCCACAACGGAAAACTCAGCGAGGCGTTTGGAGTAAACAAAGGAGTCAGACAAGGGTGCTTTTTATCACCAATGATATTCCTAATTGTGGTGGACTGGATTATGCGTCAGACAGTGGGAAACGAGAAGACAGGGATATTATCCTGGACCGACGTGAAGAACCTAGAAGACCTGGATTTCTTGCGTGGATGATTTATGTTCAATGTCGCACAAAATGGAAGAATCACAAGCGAAAACCAACAAACTGGTCGAAGAAGCAGCAAAGACAGGACTCCAGGTGAACATAGACAAGACGGAGGTTATGAAAATAACCAACCAACAACAACAGCAACAGCAGCAACATCCAGCGCCAATCATCATCAACGGGAAGGATTTGAAAGAGGTTACTTCATTCATTCACTTATCTAGGCAGCATTGTCTCAACTACAGGAGGAACGGACGACGATGTCAAATCGAGCGAGAATCGGGAAGGCGAGAAACACATTCATCAACCTGAAACCAATCTGGAAATCTTCCGCTGTCACTCAGCCTGCATCAACAACAAAGTGATTCGGATTTTCAATACAAACGTCAAGTCAGTCAGTTCTTCTATACGGATCAGAAAATTGGCAGCGGGTCACAAATAATATTTCCAACAGCCTGTTGCAGACCTTTATCGACAGCTGTCTTCGCTCTGTACTGAAGATCAGATGGCCGGAAAGAATCACCAACAAGAAAACATGGGAACAAACAAAACAAGAACCAATCGCCCAACAAATATGCAGAAGAAAGTGGAGATGGGTTGAACACTGGCTGAAGACGCCACTGGGTGACATCGCGCGTCAGGCCAGTGCTCGAGTGGAACGCGAAAGGGAAGCGGGGAGTGGGGTGTCGAAGAGTGACATGGAGGAGATTGTGTGAAGAGGAGTTGAAACAGTATGGATTAACATGGATGCAAGTGAAAAGTAAAGGAGAAGAGAGAAACAAGTGGAGACGTGCAGTTGAATCCCTATGTTCCACTAGGAATCCAAGGGAACAATAATAATAATAATAATGCATTTTTGGTAAGTATAAATATGATTGTACAGCCTGTGAAGATGATTTCATCTGTAGAGAAAATTTTCTTCACTGAATTTGTCTTTTATTTTCGTCATAAATAAAAAAAGCAAACAAAATTAAGAACAGTTACTCAATAAGTGCTGATGAATACACCAACAAATGAAAACTTGTAAAGACAAATGGGATTTCAGTTAAAGTTGAGAATTTTATATATAATAGGGTTAACGACCATTTCTAACGAGCATTAAAATCGTCGTGTGAAACAATTGTACAATTGGACAGGACAATACACACACTTTCACAGCTTCGTTCCTCTCAAGTACAAGAGAAATTTAGTAAGGAAGGACCCTCAGCCACAGAGTTAGAGCTATATGTTCAGAAGAAGTAATTGAAGATGAATGCCTAAGCATTGTATATGATACTTTGATCGAAAATAGCTATCCGCAAAAAATTTATCAAGGAACATATGACGAAGAAAGCAGAAAAGGACTACTCACTATCGGTAAACAAGAAGCCACTTCATATACGACCACAATTCAAGGGTGATATACCAAGTGAGATAATTACGAGGAAATTATGAAAATCAGTTCAAAGAACTTTCAACGCTGGCGAACTACACGTCTTATTATCTACACGACCGATGGTGCTACCTCGACTGAAAGATGAAGTACCTAGACTAGGCACTTAAAATTGTATCTATCAATTCAGCTGCGCTTGTGGAGCGAGTTATACCGGCCGTTGCTCCAGGAACTTGATTTTTCGTGCTCACTTGAGAACATCTACCACTATGGCTAAGTAAAGGTGTAGTTAAAACTATTAACAGCTCGATATTAGACCATCTGGTGCAAACCGGTCACAAAGCCAACCAGCGTAGAAGAATCCTTCTCTATAATATACCGGGTGCCTAACAAATTACCAAAAATCGTCGAAGCACCGTATGCTCCAAACAGTAGAGGCTATTGCAATTCGCCTCAAACAACCAGTGCTGTGTGTTCAAAAGAAACAAGTCCAGCCCCTACTACTGCCATGACCGTCAGTAGAAACTATAAACTCATGAATTTGTACGTCGGTGGCACAGTGGTTAGGACTCTCGCCGACCATGCATATGGTCCGGGGTTCGATCCCCTGCCGGCGCACACCCGATATCTATGGTCGGCCTGAATTTGGGCTACCGATATCCATGATGAAAATTCCATACTTGTACTGAAAATACGGTGTGGAATCAAGCTGTAAATCAAAATAAAAATAAAAATAAAAAAAATTATTCTTCTGACATTCAGTTTATTTTATGTTGATGCTATTGAGCTGTAATCTATCAATATTATTGATTTGATGTTATTTAAACAACATTAATGTCGTTCATAAGACCAATTCATTCATTCATTCATTATAATGTATATATAATTGTAGAGCCTGATGATGAATTTATCGAAAAGAGTACTCTTTGTTCAGTGTTCATTCTTTTGAAAATTTTAATAAGCGTTTTTAATCAGTCAATTGTACAACACACTATATAGCATGATCAAATTAATTAATTAATATTGGTTCACTTACTTGCCCATCCTATTGCACATAGATAAACTAATATAGCTAAACCGAGACCAAATGATACACGTTCTGAGGCTAAATAAAAAGCTGCTGTCCTTCGTGGCATATCAGGCAGTAATCCACTCAGTACACCGTAAGAACCAAATATCGGTAAGATACAGAGACATGCTATCAACAGGAGACTGAATGAACCAATAAGAATTTGATGTTTCAACAGTTTCCGCTTAAGATTACAAAAACAGAGAGAGAGAGAGAGAAAAAATGAGGTGAAACAGAGAATTTCTTTATTTGTAAAAACGAATAAAAGTTTTATATGTCCAAACCAAGTTCAATTTTACCTGTTTGAAAAAAATTGGGCACTGGGTATATGATATTCATTATAATGAAGGTTTTTGTATTTCCCAATGAATGAATGAAAAACAAAACAATATTGTTTTTACTGACATTTCGCTATTTACTGCTAATAGCTTTATCAAAGTAGTAATATTAAACCGGAATTTACAAAATCTCAGCATATATATAACAAAGAGTTTCAAGTCTTCTTAGACGAGCACACTCTCTGATAACGGATGAGAAAGAGGAAGAAGAAGAAGAAATATCAAACATTACTGAAACTCTCAAGGAAAACAACTACCCAAGGGACTTCATCAACAAAATCAACACAGACATTAAGTGTGGCCGAAAACGCATTCCGAAAACATGGACATCAACAGTCGTCATTCCATATAGAGAAGAGACGTCAGATGATATCAGAAGAGTACTCAATCAGCTCGACATTAGAGTTTTCTTCAAAACATCAGACACACTTCAAAGCAACCTTGTCCATATAAAAGACCAAATCCCTAAAGATTCTCTATCTAATTGTGTCTATAAAATAAATTGCTTGGAATGTGATGCGATATACATCGGACAAACATCTTGAGAAATCAAAATCAGAAGTAATGAACACAGTATAGCATCTCTTCGACCACCCGGAAATCCGATTGAACTGGAAAAACTTGAAAAATCATCAGCCATAGGTCTACATGTTATAGAATCAGGCCACAAAATTGATTTTGACAATGTTGAAATAATCCAGAAAAACTTAGGAAATCACAAAGAACGTCTATTATCAGAAGCACTTCATATCAAGTGGAATCAAAATTGCCTGAATAGGAATGATGGACTGAAGCAGAATCTGACCTGGTTACAACACCTCCCTCCCCCATGAAGTGACAAAATCAACACGAATGTGATAAGCAAGTTCACTATGTAGATACACACTAATTTTATAATGTTACACACCGATCAAATCCAACAATCCACACTTGATTTTGTTATCTATACCAATTGACCAACTTGACAACTAAAAATGCCCCCAGAAAGACGAACGATGATCAAGTTAGTAAACTTTGTTTTGATACCATAACAGATGTACTACTACCTTTGTTATTTGGTTTAGTGATCTTCATTGTTATTTTAACTTTCAATATGTCCCTTTAACTTGACCTAAGTCTATTTTCTCACCCCCTAACTGTTTGTTATATATATGCTGAGATTTTATAAATTCCGGTTTAATAATACTTTGATAAAGCTATTAGCATTAAATAGAGAAACGTCAGTAAAACCAATCTCGTTTTCAAGTGTTGGTTTGTAGGGATTTGATTGGTTTCAGGATTTTCATCATGATCTGACATTAGTTAGAGAACCATTGGAAAACCTGGGAGTACTGGACAGCTGTTTCGTCCTAGTTTGGGACTCTTCGTCAGTACGCACCCACCGGGATTCTGGTTACCAGAAGGTCCTGGGTTCGAATCCCGGTGGGTGCGTACTGATGAAGAGTCCCAAACTAGGACGAAACAGCTGTCCAGTACTCCCAGGTTTTCCAATGGTTCTCTAACTAATGTCAGCTCATGATGAAAATCCTGTAACCAATCAAATCCCTACAAACCAACACTTGAAAATAGGAATCGCTTTATTCTGAAACTATTTTTATGTGATGTACAGAATTTTCAGCGGAGTTCAGTGCACGATATTCTGTCTTCTTCAAGGATCTTCAAACATAACACTAATCAACTGGCTGCAGATCGTGTGACACAGTTCTTTCTAGTTGACATGAAGCGCAAACTAATCCACTAATTATAATGAAATCTCCTCGTTTCTTTTCCTTAGGGAAATACACGACAGCATTTGGCGGTTGATGAATGCCAATTATAAAAAGGTGTAGAAATATATTTTGTGAACGAGGGACACCACTCAGGAACGATCATGTCAAGTACTGCTATCCATCGAGGATAATGCTCATTTTTCATCTCATGTTTCTCATAGGACCTTGTGAGTGAGCAGGTTGTAAATGTTTTGAATACCCGCCAGAGTAAACATAACACTATTATAGGTCATATTTTACTAGATTTAAGCAGACTGAATAAGAGAAATCAAATATATGCTAATGTGTATTGATGGAGTTTTGATTCGGTAGCCGAAGTTTTAAGCAGGCCGCCATCTATTGTTACTACGATTACCGTTGTCGTTCAAGTGCGATTTTTTTATTACAAGTATGTCTTAGTAATAAATGAGGTAGCTACTTAATAATTTCAATAGAAAACATACCCGGAAATGTAGTAATGAAGACTATCAACAACTTAATAGGATAATTCCGTCAGTATTGTGATCTTTGAGTTAGTGTATTTGTCTTCATTTTCATCCTAAACGACCGCATCAGTACAGATTTTATTCTATGCCTTTAATTTTAGATCACAACTGAGTACTATAAAGTCTTCATTTGGCACCATAGGTGAAGGTATGTAATAATGTCACAGTTATGAATATAATTAGTTTCTCGGTGGCACAGCGGTTAAGACTCTTGCCGATCATACACATGGTCCGGAGTTCGATCCCCTACCGATGCACACCTGATGTCTATGATCGGCTTGCAAAATTTGGGCTACCGATATCGCATGCTGAAAATTCCATACATGTCCCAAAAACACTGTGTGGTTTCAAGCTATAATCAAAATAAAAATTTAACCTCGCCTAGATTACTAGCTCACTAGTTTTCTAGCCGGTCCCAAGCCCGGATAAAGAGGGAGGGTTGAGGCGTGGTGCTAGCAACTCCACCCCCAAAACCTAACCAAATTGCTACAGAAACTTCAAAGCACAAATATATTAAAAATTCTAAAAACATAAACAATAACCTTATTTTTCGCTGGAATCGGGGAAGTGAAATGACGCAGGCTGGTAAAAGCCTTCAGGAAGCCAGTCAGCCAATGTGCCTTCTTTCGATGAAAGCAAAAATAAGGATGGGGACGTGGAATATTCGTACAATGTACGAAACTGGAAAGGCTGCTCAGGTAGCCGCAGAAATGAGAAGATATAAAATAGAAGTGTTGGGAATCTGCGAGAGCAGATGGAACGGATGTGGAAGGAGCCAACTATCAACTGACTAGTCCCAAATAGGACGAAATGAGCATCCTGGATTCCACTGCTAGTCACCATCCACCAATTAACCACGAATGATAGTGTTTAAATTAGAACCACAAAAAACTAGGGACTTTCTAACACTTGTTTTTCGCTTCATTTATCCCCTTTTCAGATATGTTTGTGTCAATGTTTAGTTCAGAATCGTAACCTCTTGCAGACAACTACTCAGTTTTCTGCGAATTGGATGAAATCATATCATACTACAAGTGACTGAACAGCAAATTTTATTTTCCCCAAGTTTTCAGATGAATACTGATGAAGACTTTCATCCTACTTTGATTGGGCACTAGTAACTATTGTAATGATGTGTCTAGTCCTTTCTTTGGTGCAGACTGAATTCTATCAGTCAGGTTTGCAATGTGGCTACCATTCTAGGTAGCTCGCCATCACGGTGCACATTGATTTGATGATATTAGATAGTTGGAGGCAAACCTGACTGATAGAATTCAGTCTGCACCAAAGAAAGGACTAGACACATCATCACACTAGTTACTAGTGTCCAACTAAAAATCCACTACAGCCTTACAGTAGGTCAATCGCGAGCCCGAATAGCCCAGTGGTAACGTCTCTGACTGCAGGCGGCACTTGGTGACGCGGGTTGGAATCTCAGAAGGAGGGGCATGAGTTCCTTCAAGGTTGCAGATAGGCCTTGCTGTCTGGTGAGTACCAGCTAGCACGAAACCTAGATCGAAAGCTTCCAACCATCTAATACTTTCATCCTAGTATGGAACAATTATTCCATTTTTTCCACCAGAATCTCGTTATTGAGTATATATCAAGTTAAAACGTTGTGTTTCGGTGGTTCAGCAACAAAGTTCTGGCCAACCATGTACGTTTTCTGGGGTTCGAGTCCTGACCGTTGCACTTCTTTACCTTCCTTAGCCGGTCATAATCTTGACAAAGAGAGGAGGTTAGGTGTTTGGCTAACAAACCCACTTCATAAGAAAAAAACACACCACTGGTACTGAAACTTCAAGCCTCTAGCTTGAAGCCGTATGTTCCACTCATGGAACGCAAAAGGAATAAAATTGTCAATATCTTAGAAAGTAAATAATTTAAAGTATATTTAGGTACAAACTTACAATTCTTATTCTAGGATAATCATATAACAACCAACCGGTTAGTAATCCAATCGTGTAAGTTCCACACCGAGCATATGGTCTTATATAGATTTCATCTTTTGGTATTCTATTTATTTTTTGTTTGATCATTCCAAAATTATTTTGTGCAGTTGTGGAAACAATGAAGAAAAGCACAGATAGATAAATATTAATCAGTGGGTAGAATAAACATTAAAATTGCTGTAGATCAAATTATTCAAATATATATCCAATACAGTCTACAGAGTCTGGACTGAATAGCCCAGTGGTAACGTCTCTGACTGCAGCACTGGGTGACGCGGTTTCGAATCTCAGAAGCAGAGACATGAGTTCTTTCAAGGTTGCAGATACGCCTTGCTGATGAGTGCCAACTAGCACGAAACCTAGGTCCAAGGCTTCCTGTGGCCGATTGCCTCCAACCATCTAATATATCTCAAAAACTGGCATAATTTACACTGTGAATGTAAATCACAAGATGAAGGATAAAATTGAGCGCAAGACACACTGATTTGATGATGGATTTGTTGGCTAGATAACGCTAGATGAATAGAATTTATCAAAAAGTAGATCTTGGTCCCACTCCAACAGATTTCAGTCTAGAGAAATGGATACTATCATCAATTCTCACACGACAGATGTGGCTCATTATTATTATTATTGTTTCCTTGGGATTCAATAACACATCCCTGCTTTTTGATTGAACACTAGTAACTAGTGCGCCGTGTCTAGTCCTACGTTTGATGCTGACTAAATTCTATCAGAACAAAATATTTAGAGAGAACAATTGTTTTCAATAAATTGTGGAACAAGTACAAGATGGGATGGAACAATAGTCAGTTAGTTTTTTAATATGCATGGTCAATGAGAACATGGGACAAAATGAGATGAAGTAAAAACTAACTGATTATTGTTCGATCCCATCTTATACTTGTTCCACAATACACTTTCTGATATGATTCTAATTTACCTTTACTGGCTATTGTATGCTTAAATTAATGGATTTTTAATTGTAGAGCCTGAAGAAGAATTTATTGAAAACAGTTGTTCGCTCTAAATATTTTGTTCTGAATAAATTATGGGAATATCCAATTTACTGAATTCTATCAGTCAGGTTTGCAATGTGGCTACCATTCTAGGTAGTTCGTCATCATGGTACACATTGATTTGATGATATTAGATAGTTGGAGGCAATCGGCAGGAAGCCTTGGACCTGGACGAAACCTATTGTCATCTATCCGGTCATCTGATGTTCAATAATGGAGCTAGCGAAGGGGGCAGTTATTGATAAAAGTCTTCAGTCACTTGTTGGAAATCCTTTTCGTAAGTGTAGCTCATTGCTGGGTGATTCAGTTCTGTCCATCCTTTTAAATCAGTAAATTTTTTAAAAGAGTCGCTGAATTACCTCTTAGAAGCTGACTTGTATTTTCATTCCCTTATGAACTCGTGAGAAGTTTTGTGTTGTAATTTTCACCCATAATTATGTCTCAAATAAAATTATTCAGTACACTGATTTCCTCTATGAGTTCAATGGTCATCTCTCCTGGTGTGTGAAATTCAATGTATTCACTGGTTGTTTCTGTGTGTTTTCACACCCTCTAGACTACTACTTGTATTGATATTCATACTGATTGTTTCCTTGACCTGAACTTTGACCCTTTGTGTGTGTGTGTGTGAGAGAGAGATTACCTTCTTATCGATTCGTAAATTTTTTGCTGTGTCGAAGTGTCACTTGTGATTTATGATTCACTGGAATACCAGACGGGATTCAAAAAATTCTCTAGCATTCTTCGTATATAGACAAATCGATGGTGTGGCAATGGGGTCACTACTAGGACCCATTCTAGCCGACATTTTCCTTGCGAAACTAAAAAATGGGCCTTTGAAGGATGTTATTAATGAACTCGAATTTTATTGTCGGTATACTGATGATACTTTTTTGATTATGAAGAACGAGAAGGAAGCAAAGAACATCCTGGATAAATTTACTGAGGTACACCCTGCAAAAATTTTACTATGGAGAAAGAAAAAGACTCTAGTACTTCAATTTTAGACGTCCTTATGACCAGAAAAGAGGATGGCTCAACGGGTCAGTACACATATTTTCTCAGCTTTGTGCCTTTGCAATACAAACGCAATCTAATAAAGACCTTGGTCTACAGAGCAAGAGAGATTTGCTCGGATGAATGTCTTGATGAGGAACTTAATAATGTTAAATGGTTGCTAAGTGAGAATGGTTATCCTGAAAAGTTTATTGATAAGAATATGAATCTAAAATCATGGCAGCCAAAGGTACTAACACTTCCTAAAAAGGCCTTATTCTTAAAAATTCAGTTCCTCAGGGATAACATTAACGAGATACTAACACAACCCCTTAGTAATGCAGTAAAAAGAGCATTTCCTACTGCTGGATTACGCTGAGTCTTCAAAACCACCCCTATTTCGCGTTCCGGAGTAAAAGATAAGCCGCTTAATTTCGCCTCTTCCATGTGTATCTACCAATTTAACTGCTCCTGTGGAGTGAGTCAGTTATTTAGGCCGTACAATTAGGCGTGTTTCTCGTCGAATTTCCGAACTTCACCCTGCACAGTGGTTGAGCAAAGGACAAACAAAATCTATTCGCAGCGCTATTCTGTCTCATCTCGTGGAGACAGAACACAAGATTGACGTTAATCATGCTTTCAGGGTCATTTACCACATACCTACGAATCTCAATTTTGCCTTAAGAGTTCGACTGCTAAATATTGCTGAGGCTGTGGGGATCCATATTAACAAGCCTAATATATGCACCCAAAAGATCGAACCCCGAACCATGTGCATGGTCGGCGAGCGTCCTTACCGCTATGCCACCGACGCACTTCTGTGTACACAAACATGCATATTTAATTGTAGAGCCAGAAGAGGAATTTATCGAAAAGAATATTCTTTGCTCGATTATTCTTTGTATTTCCTCTGTCCAATACTTGAACGTTGTTTGTCTCAGTCGAATTGATGTCCGTGGTTGTCTATATGCAGTGTGGCTATATGTGGGAACAGATGTCATGTATTTTGACGGCCAGCTTATGATCATAGATACGAAGACTGAAGGGATGTCCGCTGTGGCAAATGGAGTGGTTTTCGCAGTTGTTACAATTTATTTTGTAGATGATGATGTTGGTTTTATCTTCCTTCGATGTTAAGTCTGTCTTTTGGTTAACATAGAGCCAGCTGAGTGAAGTGACTTTGTTAGTTTGTGTGCGAACTTAATTCCAACAATGCTAGAGAAAATTTTAGAAGCCCACGTGGTATTCTAGTGAATCAGCAATCACAATTGACACTTCGACACAGCAAAAAATTTACGAATCGATAAGAAGGTAATCTCTCTCACACACACACACAAAGGGTCAAAGTTCAGGTGAAGGAAACAATCAGTACGAATATCAATACAAGTAGTAGTCTAGAGGGTGTGAAACCACACAGAAACAACCAATGAATGCATTCGATTTCAGCCACCAGGAGAGATGATCAGTGGACTCGTGGAGAAATCTAAAAGCTCACTTCTATTCAAATTGAGGTGTATGCTGAAGATGTTGCCTAATAGGGGTCAATGAAAGCTTCACAAATAAACCATCCATCTAGCTGAGGGAAGCACAACTGCATCAAAATAGAACAACGTGTACTGAACTCCTTATGTTTTATCAAAGATACATTTCAGAAGACTCTATGCAAGTACGTCTAAGTATAAAAATTCCACTATACCATATTTAGCACGTACTTCATGTGATGAAAATAGTGTCAGGCATGAACTAACCAAGTAACCTTCTTTGCACCACTAAATAAACCATTTCCCCCACCCTTAAAGCATCAAACTTTATTGTTATTGTATTTCTGATATTTATAATCCTCTCAATTTTCTGTTTTGTTTATTTTTTTTCATAAGTGTGGACATAATTTAAATGGTATTATAACTGTTAATTTTGTATTTCCCCTCACTATACTATATCAGCAGAACATTAGATCCAATAATCTATAACATGCTAAAGTTTCCAAACTGAATCGACAATACCGTTTGAAACAAACTCACTGTTATTATTATTTTTATTATATTTGATAATCTCAATTCGTGCTTCGAATATTTTTGATTTTATGTCGTAAATGTGGACAAATTCCTTCGGTTAATTTTGTTTTAATTTTTTAATTTTATTTATATTTTGAGTAAATCAGATGCAATATTGTGACAAATGCTGAGAATTCCATTCTGTATTATGAGTACTATTTTTGGATTAAAGTAGATTATTATTATTATCATACTTATATTGTAATTGATGATTTATATGTACGCAAACATTTAGTTGACCAGTGAATGAAATTGGTTCATTCTTTCAAAGGATGAAATTGTTTATGATATCTAAATACAATAGCGTCCGTCGGCGGCATAGCGTTTAGGACGCTCGCCGACCATGCACATGTGGTCCACGGTTCGATCCCCGGCCACGGACGCACTCCTTTACCCCGCTAAGCCAGAAATAATGCTGGCGAAGAGGAAAGGTTGGGCATGAGGCTAGCGACCCCATCCTGTGAAAATAAACACCGCTGCTACAGAAACTTCAAGCCACTAGCTTGAAGCCCCCCCCCTATGTTCCACTAGAAACGTGAAGGAAATTTTAAAAAATGCAATAGGCGTAATAAACTCACTGCATAACACCGTATGAATTATCATATGCAATACAATAAGTGAGCACTGAGGAAGATAAAATTAGTGACAATGCCAGTATAATTCCTGCCAGTCGTCTCCTGTATAGAGATAGAAAAATGCGTTGAAAATCAGACGCTTATATTTAATGAACGAAATATTCCCATATTTAGTCATAAGAAAAATGCACAAACAGCGAAGAAAACTTTCTTTTCGACGATTCATTTTCATGAGCTGTACAATCGTAATTATAATTAACAGAGAAGTCTGTAGACCAATCAGATACTGGTAAATTTTGTCCTTGGAAAATTGTATTACATAATGTAAGGTGTAAGAAGGGATGACTAATTGTAGGTTAGAAAGGAGACAGAAGTTGGCATGACGTAATAAGTGTGAGATAATGAATAATCAATAAGCTCGTGCAAAATGGACAGGAACTAGTGGAATACTGCCCAGCTTGGTTAGCCAGAGGAGAAAAGAAGAATAGCAACAGCTCGATCCTCGAACACCTTGTCATCTCTGAACATCGAGCACCCCCACATGAATGCTTCACAGTGTTACACAGAGTCCCTCAATATCGTACAAAGGGACTTCGGATACGCCATCTTTACATAGCTGAAGCATTAGCTATTCGAGATCTGAAACCGGACCTCTGCATACAAAAGCGATACATACATTCTCTTGCCCTACCATGGCCAGAGTAAAGTTCTCACCACAATTTCGCTTCTTTCCTTTATTATGTAAGTTCACTATTATTACTATTATTATTTTATTTTATTAATACTTTTATTTTCATTACTGTTCCCATCATCCACATTTTTTTACCACTCTATTACTGTTTATTAATAACATTGCTTTTCATACATATTTTATACAAAAACACTTTATAGCCTTTCCACTAGTTCCTGTCCATTTTGCACGAGCTTATTGATTATTCATTATCTCACACTTATTACGTCATGCCAACTTCTGTCTCCTTTCTAACCTACAATTAGTCATCCCTTCTTACACCTTACATTATGTAATACAATTTTCCAAGGACAAAATTTACCAGTATCTGATTGGTCTACAGACTTCTCTGTTAATTATAATTACGATTGTACAGCTCATGAAAATGAATCGTCGAAAAGAAAGTTTTCTTCGCTGTTTGTGCTTATATTTAAACATATATATGTATATATATAACTGAATTCGTTGAAAAGATGAGAGATTTAAATGTTAACAATAAATTCGTGATATCATTTCATGTATCTTCCTTATCTACCAATGTGTACCAATTATGGAAACCTATAGATTTTGTATGCTAGGAACTCATAAGACGAAACGTCAATGTCGACATTCCTATATCTTTTATAAAACAGCTTCTCTTCAAATGCACAATCAATGTTCACTTTCTACTCATTAAGGAACTATACAGACGAATCGATGGGGTCACCACTAGGACCACTTCTAGCCCGAAATTTTCCTTGCAAAACTAGTTGATGCGACTTTGAAAGATGTTCATTGATGAACTAATTATTTACATGGATGACACATTTTTGATAATGGAAAAATGAGGGATGGTGCAAAGAACATCCTGGACAAATTTAATGATGTTTATCCTGTAATAAGTGCGTCGGTGGCACAGCGGTTAGGACGCTTGCCGACCATGCACAAGGTCCGGGGTTCGATCCCCGGCCGACGCACTCCTTTACCTCGCTAAGCCAGTAATAGAACTGGCAAAGAGGGAAGGTTGAGCATGAGGCTAGCAACCCCATCCTGTAAAAATGAACTCCCCCGCTACAGAAACTTCAAGCCTGTACCTTGAGGCCCTATGTTCCACTGGGAGCGTGAAGGAATAAAAAAAATCCTGTAATAAATTTTACCATCGAGAAAGAAAGTGACTCTAGTATTTCATTCTTAGACGTACTTATAACTAGAACGGAGCACGGGTACAATAAAGAAAAGTGTATATAGAAAATCAGCTTCAACACCTTTGAAATACAAACGCAATCTAATAAGGTACTTGGTCCACAGAGCAAGAGCAATCTGCTCTGATGAAATTCTTAATAAAGAGCTTAATATTATTAAACAGTTGTTGTCAATGATTGATGAACGTTTGTGCATTCGCCTTGGTAGCCATTGGCAAGCAACTCGAAGGCACGAGTGATTGGATCGTGTACAAGTTGGAAGGAGAAGACGAAAGAATACGAATAAAAGTACAATACAAACACTAGTAAGTTCTCATGAAGACTGTTGCATCGAGGGGACTAAAATTGAAACTAAGTCTAATGCAAAATACCTCGGTCTAGTTCTATCTTCCGACCTAATATGGACATCTCATGTCCTAACGATTTCTAAGTAAGTGTTCTGTCTAACCTACTACATTAAGGAACTTAGAAAATCTGGAACCCCCCAAACTCTACTTTCACGATTTGTCAACTCTTGTATCCTACGTTTTCCACTTTACTGCTCCCTGTTAGTCTTTCCTGGGCTACTGAAAAAGGACTATACCATCCTGAGAAGGATGTTGAAGGTAGTCAGTAGGACTAGTGGTGTAAAACTCAGTCAGCTCGTCACTACATTAGTTGAACGGCATCGGAATACATGTGAAAAATGGTCTAAAACCATACTCTCCGACCCCTAACACCCCCTCTATTCCCAACTCTCTCCTTGTATCTCATCAACTAGAACCAGAAATCAGTATAAAATAATATATGCTCGTAAAACCAAGTACAGGAACTCAACGATACCATACTTGGCCCGTGTTCTAAGCGACAGAGACAATGTTAAGCGCGAAACTTATGACTTGCTTTGTTATTAACAACATAATTTTAGGCTCTTTTATTTCTCTCTTATTTTGTATTCTATAGTGAACTCCTTCTTAAACATACTTAGCTACCTAAATTATTAACATTGGGTTCCTTTTTATACTTTACTATATTCCTTATAATAAAGGTTTTTGTATTTCCCAATGAATGAAAAACAAAACGATATTGTTCCTTCTATTGTGTATCCACTGGTTCCGGCTCTATTAGCACTATGAGTATTACAAAATTGTCCTGTCATTAACCATCATGTAATTATTAGTTTTGTGGTTGCTTTTTCTTATTTTCTATACTTTTCGGCAATATTAACTGACAATCATTGTTTGTGAACGCCATAGTCACCACCTTAAAAAGTTTTTTATTATGCAGGATTACTCACACTACCACTACAAACACTGCATTAGACCTGACAATAAAAAACAAAACAACAACCCTGAAATGTTATTTTATGATTGTTTAGTGTTGTTCAATCAAATTAACTGATCATCTTGACGATAAACATTGTTAAATATCATTTCATAACTTCTTGTATGACTACAGCTTTACTGTCACCATGCACAATCATATCATAGCTTCCACTACCCAATACTGAGATATTATTTATTATGTTGTTTATTTTCCTTTCTATTTCTTGGTATTTTTTCGCATTTATAATTATTTTGTGTTTTTCCTGTTTTTTGCTGTTGGTATCTTTATATTTATTTTTCTGAAATACTCCTTTTAAATGTTTGATAAAATTATATGCAAATATTGTAGATATGTGCTGAAAATTCCACACTGTACCACTAGTACTGTTTCTGGAATAAAGCAAATTACTATTATTATTATCATTATTATTGTAAAACATTTGTTTATAGACTTTGTACAGAGTATTGATTTTAACTGCCGAAGAATACAATTTCTTGCCATCCCTTGTGTTTTGGAGCTAAAGTCGATATTGTTCATAGTATAACTGTCGATTCAAGCGTCTTCGGAAATAATAGGAACTTAGGGTTAAGTTCCTTGACAGTTGCTCAGTAAGAACGGTTATCTAGAAAATTTCATCGATAGGAATACGAATCGAAAGTCAAGGCAGGCCAAAGTACCAACAATTCCGAAAAAGGCCTTATTCTTATAACTTAATTTCCTACTTGGTGATAACACAACGCCTAATGAATGCGGTATAACGAAGAGCATTTGTGGTGAGAGCTGTCTACTAGCCAAATTGGTAGACAGTAATTTACTTCAATATTTACGTTCCCAAGATTTGTCGTGAGAAAATGTGAACAAAGATTGACTTTGCGTAGGCGGATGCAGTTAACATATAGAGGATTTGACATTCAAGAAACAGTCACAAAGAGATGAAAGATTAACTTTATGTGAGAAACAACCAATCGGAAGACTGTGTTTGTTTACTTAAATAACCATAGTAATGTACATGCAAATATATAAATATGCGTTGATTTCCTTAATAAATGATCTGTTGCCTGACTCTTGCCTTCTGTCGTTACACATTCAATCCCCCTGAAGTATACTGTCTCTTCAAAACGTCCGGGAGTTAAAGCTAAACTATCTAATTTCGCCTCTTCTATGTGTATCTATCAAACTGACTGCTCCTGAGGAACCAGCTAGTTACATAGGCCATAAAATTAGGCGTGCTTTTCGTCAGATTTCCCAAAACACCATCCTACACAGTGGTTAATTAAGGGACAAAATCCATTTATTGGAGGTGGAGTTGCTAGCACCACGCCCCAACCCTCCCTCTTTATCCGGGCTTGGGACCGGCTAGAAAACTAGCGGGCTGGTAATATAGGCGAGCACTGTCTCAACTACAGGAGGAACGCACGAGGATGTCAAATCGAGCGAGAATCGGGAAGGCGAGAAACACATTCATCAACCTGAAACCAATCTGGAAATCTTCCGCTGTCACTCAGCCTGCATCAACAACAAAGTGATTCGGATTTTCAATACAAACGACGTCAAGTCAGTCAGTTCTTTTATACGGATCAGAAACTTGGCCAGTGGGTCACAAAGAATATTTCCAACAGCCTGTTGCACACCTTTATCAACAACTGTCTTCGCTGGCTCTATACTGAAGATCAGATGGCCGGAAAGAATCACCAACAAGAAACTGTGCTAACAAACAAAACAAGAACCAATCACCCAACAAATATGCAGGAGAAAGTGGAGATGGATTGGACACTCGCTGAGGAGGCCGCTGGGTGACATCGCACGTCAGGTCAGTGCTCGAGTGGGACGTTCAAGGGTGACATGGAGGAGATCCTGTGAAGAGGAGTTGGAACAGTATGGAATGATATGGATGCATGTGAAAAGCACAGCAGAAGACAGAAGCAAGTGGAGACGTGTAGTTGAAGCCCTATGTTTCACTAGGAACCCAGGGGAACAATAATAATAATATAATAATGGTTACCGTGATGATGAACTACCTAGAATGGTAGCCACGTTGCAAACCTGACTGACTGATAGAATTCAGTCTACATCAAAGGAAGTACTAGACATATCACACTAGTTACTAGTGTCCAGTCAAAACAGTGCCTTATTACTGTGCACTGTAGTTTTATGAACTGTAGACTAGTCACCATAGAACATACTTGGAAAATAAGTTTCATGTAAAACATTTCTAAATAGACAACTACGATAACAACAAATCCAAAGACTAATTTGTGCAGAATTCCTCTTATTATGTTCCTATAATACTGATCACTAAGAGTAATCAACAAGCACAAGGGAACTTGTTGATATCACCTTTACGTTTGCTCAGATTAATGTAGTAGGTGTATCTGGCACAATTAAAAAAGTTATACTCCTTCTCTGATGTCAGCCTAATTTCAGTGAATATTTAAAATTGGGAATTTATCATCAAACTTTTGAGATCACGATTGAGTATGCCTGTCATTTTAAAAACAATTTTACAATATTCAGTAATGAAATATTAGATGAATAGGTTGTATCCGGATCTTTGAAAGTATTGGGAAAATGACATGTAGTACCTTATTCTCGGAAGTGAGGAAGTGCAGTCAACTATATCCCTGATTGCGGCAAATATATTCATGAACAGATGGGACAAAATTAGAGATTGAAACGTTCAGCCTCACCCAAAAAGTATGATGGGGGTATGTAGATGACACATTTCCTGCACTTAGAAAATAGAATATAAACAGATTGTCAATGGACGCGAACATTGAACGTTTGTTTATTGGAACTGGTAGTCATTGGTGGGCAACTCGAAGGCGCAAATAGTTCAGTGGTGTCCAAGTTGGAAGAAGACGAAAGAATACGAATAATAAAACATTATATTTTGTATAAAACATTTGTTTACAGACTTGCACTTTTATTATTATTATTGTTCCCTTGGGTTCCTAGTGGAACATAGGGCTTCAACTGCACGTATCCACTTGTTTCTGTCTTCTGCTGTATTTTTCATCTGCATCCATCTTAGTCCATACTGTTCCAACTCCTCTTCACACGACCTCCTCCATGTCACCCTTGGACGTCCCACTCACCGATTCCCTTTCGGGTTCCACTCGAGCACTGGCCTGACGCGCGATGTCACCCAGCGACCTCATCAGCGAGTGTCCAATCCATCTCCACTTTCTCCTGCATATTTGTTAAGCGATCGGTTGTTGTAATGTTTGTTCCCATACTTTCTTGTTGGTGATTGTTCTTTCCGGCCATCTGATCTTCAGTATAGAGCCAGCGAAGACAGTTGTTGATAAAGGTCTGCAACAGGCTGTTGGAAATATTATTTGTGACCCGCCGTCAAGTTTCTGATCCATCCGTATAGAAGAACTGACTGAGTTGAGGTTTGTATTATAAATCCGAATCACTTTGTTGTTGATGCAGGCTGAGTGACAGCGGAAGATTTCCAGATTGGTTTCAGGTTGATGAATGTGTTTCTCGCCTTCCCGATTCTCGCTCGATTTGACATCCTCGTCGGTTCCTCGTGTAGTTGAGACAATGCTCCCTAGATAAGTGAATGAAGTAAATTCTTTCAAATCCCTCCCGTTGATGGTGATATGCGCTGGATGTTGCTGCTGTTGCTGTTGTTGTTGGTTGGTTATTTTCATAACCTCCGTCTTGTCTATGTTCACCTGGAGTCCTGTCTTTGCTGCTTCTTCGACCAGTTTGTTGGTTTTCGCTTGTAAGTCTTCGATTTTGTGTGACATCAAACATAAATCATCTGTGAAATGCAAGTCTTCTAGGTTCTTCACTTCGGTCCAGGATATCCCTGTCTTCTCGTTTCCCACTGTCTGACGCATAATCCAGTCCACCACAATTAGGAATATCATTGGTGATAATAAGCACCCTTGTCTGACTCCTGTATTTACTGAAAACGCCTTGCTGAATTTTCCGTTGTGGATCACTTGACATGTGCCGTTTTCGTACAGCTGTTGAATAATGTTGGTGAATATTTGGGTTACTCAAGTAGTTTCCAAAATACTTCGCGGTCGACGCTGTGGAAGGCCTTCTCAAAGTCTACAAAGTTGAGGTGGAGGTTTGATTGCCATTCCATGCTTTGTTCGATGATGATGCGTAGAGCTGCAATTTGGTCAGAACATGATTTGTCTTTCCTGAATCCAGCTTGTTCTGGTCGGAGTTCTGTATCCAGAGCGTTCTTTAATTGCCAAACAATACAACTTTCTTAAAGTACTGGGGTTTTGGAGTTAAAGTCGAGAAAGTCATAGTAATTATCTGTTCGAAGCGTTGTCGCAAATAATAGGAACTTAGGGTTGAGTTCCTTGACATAGATTTTTCGAACACATCAACCCAAAGGTGGAGGCAATTCATTTCACTTATGAATTGGAAATTCAGGAACTCATAGAGCTTCGAATGTTAGATTGAAGCGTAAGAAGGAAAGAAGATGGAAGTTAAACACACTAGTGTGCTTAAAGAAAATTCACAGATTCGAACAGATATTTAGATTTCGGATCATCTCATCAAATTGGTGTCAGGGAAAATAGGATTGGTGAAATGTTTAAGTAATAGGGCACAGAATCTAAGTAGTGCCAAGGAAAATCTAAGACATGAAGTGAGACATATAAGTGAAGCTTTGAAACTTAACAATTACCCTGATAAATTAATCAGGAAATATGTAAGGAGATATAAAAATAAAATTTAACAACAATAATAATAGCCGTGATAGGAATAATAATAAGGACATTATTATTAATGGCGACGTGCGTGTCAAACATGGACAGAATAATGACAACACCAACAGTAGGGAATTCGGATCATCAGTAGTACTTCATTCCATGCAACGAAGGAACCTTGGAAACCTTACAGGGAATACTTAACAAACTAGGCAGGAATAAAAACGACTGGTATTGAAAATTCCGGAAAACTCAATTAGAAAGTAGCTTTGTCAGTTGAAGTATACCGTGGAACGGCCAATTAAACAAAACAATTCACTTCATCTAATACCCCAACTGCAATCATTGTCACCTCAGAGTAGTAGAACAGGGTCAGTCAGACTAGCTCAACAGTACAAAAACCCACCAACAAATACAGTTTCACACTGTGTGATATATCTAATAAACAAACTAATATGGGACTTCAGAAAACTCAATTTTACTATGTGAAATCCACAACAAATTGGTGGAACAAGAAGAATAATCATATGCGGATTTAGATTCGACACTGAATGCAATAAATAACTCGCCTGAAAATTTAATTCGGCTGTTCTTCCTCAAAATTACTTTCTGTTGAACTGTAGCTGAAAAGGAAAAAAGTGAATGACCTATACCGTCGAGATCAACAACCCCTTTATTCGACAAAACACACAACCAACAACTAATTTGATTGGTTGTAAAAGGTTGGACATCAAAAGATTGTCTGGTCAATATATGACAAAATTATTCTGCCTCTACCTGATGGCTTCAGTAGTCGATTCTGACTGAAACAAGTTTTAGCCAACCCAGTGACAAAATACTGTTCGCCAGGTGTTACAACATATATCATAACCATACCAGTCAATGAAGACTTTTAAAGGTGTTCATCGGCTTCCACCACTTACCTAGTACTTTACATCAAACCTCATTATTATCAATTATACTGCACCAACCATTTAAGTGCGTAACTGAAAGTGAACACCTGTACTTGACACCTGTAATCTTTTCAAATCTACTAGCAACTGTTGTGTTTTGCATATGTTAATTTAAAATGGCACCTAAAAGGTTCCTCAACCTGAAAGAAAAAACCTCCTTCACCTACCTACCTGGGAAGCATCATTTCAACTACAGGCACACGGAACTGACGAGGATATCAAAGCAAGAATCGGAAAAGCAAGACAAGCTTTCACTACTGTCAAGTCTGTGTGCAGGTCAACAGCACTCAGCATCAAAAATAACATCCGGATTTTCAACTCCAATGTGAAGTCAGTCAGTGCTATTCACTATACGGATCAGAGACTTGGCCAGCGCGTCATAAAGAGCATCTCAAACAAACTACAGACCTTCATTAACAGTTGTCTTCACTCAGTACCACTCAAGATCAGATGGCCGGCCAGAAAAGATCAGCAATAGAGATCTCTGGCAATGAGCGAACCAACACAGCAGGAACCGATTGTGAAACAAATATGCAGGAAGAAATGGAGATGGAGTGGCTGGCCATACTCTGAGGACACCAACCATCAAGTGACATCACTAGACAAGCCATTGCTCGAGTGGAACCCGAAGGGGAAGCGGCGAGTTGGTCGTCAGTGCAAGGGTGTCTTGGAGGAGGTCATGTGGGAGAGCGTGGGCAGAGCGTGTGGGAAGACTTGGAGCCAGATGAAGACTGTAGCAGAGAACCGAACGCAATGGAGCCGCACGGCTGAAGCCCTATGTTCCTCTAGAAATTAAAAGAAACACTAATAATAATAAAAGGTTCATCAACTTAATCTTCTCTATGACAAAGGAGATGTAATAGTTTCGATTATGATGGTTGCAATAATACTGGTCATAAGGATTACAATAATCATACATTTTAATACTCTTACCACATGATCAAAGTGATGAAGATTGGCGCCAAAATAATTGTGAATTGTATATCGTTTGCAATATACCACGACCAGTTTAAACACTGAAATGAAGCAAATTCCACGTATATAAACTAAAATCAGTTAATATGTTTTGTGTTGATTGCTGTTAACACACAAAGCCTTTGCAAAATAGACACATTTTATTTCAGTTTTGATCATGGATTGATATTAGTTAAAGAGCCTTGTGGAAACCGGAGAGTACTAAATGGCTGTTTCGTCCAATTTTGGGACTCATCGGCTCAAATTGTAATTGGAAGATCATGGGTTTGAGACCCGATGGGTGCCTACTGTCAATGAGTCCTAAACAATGACGAAACGGTTATCTAATAGACTCTTCTGGTTTTCAAAAAAAATCACAAGATATACAAGGGTTCGTTTGCAAAGACTTGATTGATTTCAGGATTTCATCATGACCTGACATTGGTTAGAGAACCACTGGAAAACCTGTGAGTGCTGGACAGATATTTCGTCCTGGTTTGGTACTCTTCGGTAGTACTCACCCACCCACTGACTGGGTTCGAACCAAAGCGACGAGTTCATAGACAATTCAGCCACTGGAACTCGACCCGATCCAATAGTCAGCCTATGAATTACAACTTCTGCTAATTCATAATATGGCGCGACCACTAGCGAGTAATATCCGTGGCGAGTATTTGTCCTCATACTCGACCTGCTGTACCCCACTAGTGACTACGTCCCACTGGATCCCCGAGTCACTATTTGCCTGAATAGGGTCAGCCACTAGTGATCATCAGATTGACATTCAAGTGTTGGTTTGCTGGGCTTTCATTGGCTGGCTTCAGGATTTCATCATGGGATGAATAGTGACCGGTCCTATTCAGGTAAGAAGTTACCTGGGGTTCTAGTAGGAAGTCGTGACGAGTGGGGTACAGCAGGTCGAGTGTGAGAGCAAATACTCACCATGGATATCATTCGCTAGTGGTCGCGCTATATCACTCTATTGGTTTTCAAAATTTCTCCTACTGATATCAATCCGCGATCAAACTGGAAACAAATCCAATCCTTACAAACTGACTCTTCAAATAATCAGACAATGTAATAAATTAAATTGTTATATATTAGCAGGATTTCTACTAGGCAGACTATTTCTTTGCAACATTTTCTGTTCATGCCATGGAAGTTTATCCTTTTTAAACTTGTATTTTTGTATCTCATAATCAATAAATACTTAAAAATAATAGTTAATCCTACGTTACAGCATAAGAACGAATGAAATCAATGTTGACCTCTTATATATATATGCGTCACCCTCTGGTCTCCCACCAGCTGTGGATCACGCCTCGTAAGTCAGCAGGCCCACAGACGCAGTGCGTTCAGCTAAACTGTGGTGAGAGCTGTCTACTAGCCAAATTGGTAGACAGTAATTTACGTCAATATTTACGTTCCCAAGATTTGTCGTGAGAAAATGTGAACAAAGATTGATTCAAAACCGACCACAGCAGACTTTGCGTAGGCGGATGCAGTTAACATATAGAGGATTTGACATTCAAGAAACAGTCACAAAGAGATGAAAGATTAACTTTATGTGAGAAACAACCAATCGGAAGACTGTGTTTGTTTGCTTAAATATTCATAGTAATGTACATGAAAATATATAAATATGCGTTGATTTCCTTAATAAATGATCTGTTGCCTGACTCTTGCCTTCTGTCGTTACAAAACCTGCTTCCCCTCCGGCTACAATTCACAGACGTTTTTGTCCATCCATTTCTGAAAACGTTTCCGCATGTATTTTTTCTCGTTGTGACTAAGTGCGTTGCTCTCTGGAACCCCCATACGATGAGCTATATTAAATCATTAAACGTATGGATAAATTCCTTATCCTAGACATAAAAGGCTGCAAAAACTCTATTAGTATCTATCGATCGTCCGAAAGCTGTTTACTTAGACGGCGATCCCTTGAGTCTCGAACTATGCGTTCCGAATAATACCCAGCTGACTGAATACCCGTTAGTCCTTGGAAAAAGAAACACTATCAGCACATTGATGCCAACACAAGAGAAAACACATTCTGGATTAACTGTGCGATTTTCAGGGAACCTGCAAACCTATCCTACAGAATACGATTCACGTTCCCCTCTCATTTCGTATGGTAGATGTATACCTTAATTCAAACACTACTTTTGGTACATTTTCCTCGGCAAGGTTCTCAGCATTCTTGTTTTTTTTCTTGCCAGGTGCGCTGAGCACTGAACATGAAGCGAGCAACAATCTTCGTATGTTCGGCATGCGATTCGCCCTTGTAAAATGTAAGATGATGCTGCAGGATTGGACTTCACCGACCCCTAGATTAGAAATAGGAAGTGAAGTGGTAGAGCACGTTGACCGCTTCAATTACTTGGGAAGTACCATCAGCCAGTGCCAACGGGTCGATCTCCGACGAAATCTCAGCACGAATACAGAGGGCTAGGTTCGCATATGCCAGTTTACGCCATCTCTGGCGTAGACATGATATCCGGCTATCGACCAAAGGGCGTGTGTACTGCTCAACAGTCCGCTCCGTCCTCCTTTATGGCTGTGAAACCTGGCCATTGAGAGCAGAAGATATGAAAAGATTATCTGTCTTTGATCATAGGTGTCTGCGTTCTATCTCCCGTGTTAAGTGGTCGGTGTAATAAGGTGAGCAATATTGAGGGTAGGCCTTAGTCGAGTGCTAGGTAAGGCGGGAGGGGAAATCAGTCGACGAGACTGTGAAATTACATCGACTGAGATGGTTAGGATATGTGTTGCGTATGCCTAGTCATCGCCTTCCTCGACAATGGGCAATGTTAGCTGATATAGGGTCAGGCTGGAAAAGAGCTAGTGGTGATCAAACCAAAACATGACACCAGTCAATGAAATCCACAACAGTTAGTGTAAGTCACGTAGGAAGGTTTAGACTTCCTGGTTGTTGTCCTCGGGAAGGTAAAAACCAGTGGTTGGAAATAATTGGTAACATGGCTCAAAATCGTTCTCAGTGGCCAGGGCAGATGCATCCACTCCTTGTGACACATGATTTCCAATGAAACTGTTTGGTTCTTCATTATTATTGTTCCTTTGTCTCACACCTCTGTTTACTGTCTATATTATGCATTTCTCCTACTTCCTTCTCTTGCTTTGTGTGGTACATGGAGGGAGTGTGGCAACTTGAACTTCCGCACATATGTGCAGAGTTCTATGTCGAAAAATGACCAACCAACCGAGCGAACAAGGTATGCGATCCAACGAAAGAACATCAGTAAAATGATGTACATGTTCCAGATTAGCATACGTAGATGACTAGTAGACACCTTACTGCCATCAATCCTATTGGAAGAGTTTTACTAATGGTGCTACCATTAGCTTTTTACTTCCATCTGCTTTCGTCTCAGGATAATCCCACTCTCACTAGGGGGATAAGTGAGCCGTGGTAGTGGATAATTCCTTCAGATTATTAGCCACATCATTCATCGCCGTTCATTGGATGCTGATCTTCACCGTTTATGTCAACGCGCTGAGCTGAATTCACCTGGTCAAGCATCCACACCATTCGATATGCTGTCGTGTTATTTTTGTTCGTTCGTGCACAATCTCTAGCCAGTTAAACAATCATCCTCTTACTGCCATTTTGATACCAAAATATGTTTAGAATTTTGGACGATCAATTTATTGTTTTACACAACGTATCATCGTTGAACAGATCTTGGAATGGCAGTCACTTCTATGTCTCAACTTCGCTGACTTTGGAAAGGCCTTCAACAGCGTCGATCGAGAGGTGATTCGGAAACTACTTCTCTAGTACTAGGTGGCGCCAGCAGTTATAAATCTCATCCAACAGTTGTACGACAATGTTGCATGTCAAGTAATCCACAAAGGGAGACTCACGGAATGCTTTGAAGCGAAGATGGGAGTAAGGCAAGCTGGCTGGCTGCCTACTATCTCCAATGATTTTCCTGATTGCGGTAGACTAAATAATGAGACAGACAACGGGCAACGAAGAGATAGGCATAAAATGGAACCGCAGAAAAAATTGGAAGATTTGGATTTCGCCAATGATACATTTCTGATTTCCCACAAACTGGTAGATATCCTAGTGAAAAGCAACAAGTTGGCAGAAGAAGCATCAAAGACAGCATATAGAGAAAACAGAGGTGATGAAGATTCCTGGTCAACGCCACCAACAGCAACAACAACAACAACAGACAACAATCAGGCAGCATAAATGGGAAGAGTCTGAAAGAAGCAACTTCCTTCACTTACCTACCTACCTACCTACCTACCTGGGAAGCATCGTCATTTCAACTACAGGCGGACAGAACTGATGAGGATATCATCAAAGTAAGGATCAGGAAAGCAAGGTAAGCTTTCATTTCTCTCAACTCTGTGTGAAGGTAGATCAACAGGACTACTCAGCATGAAGTCAGTGCTAATCACCATACGGATCAGAAACTAGGCACCGCGCTGCGTCACGAAGGGCACTTCGAACGAACTACAGACCTTTATCAACAGCTGTCTTCGCTCAGTACTTCACTCAAGATTAGATGGCCAGTCAGAAAAGATCAGCAATATTGAGGGACCTCTGGCAATGAGCAAAGCAACCTAGGAGGAACCGATTGTGCAACAAATGTGCAGGAAGAAATGGAGGTGGATTGGCCATCAAATGAAATCACACGCCAGGCCATCACTCGGGTGAAACTTGAATGGGAAGTGGAGAGTTTGTCGTCAGTGTGAGGGTGACATGGAGGAGGAGGTGATGTGAAGAGGAGATGAAATCATGTGAGCAAACGTGGAGCCACGTGAAAACGTTTGCGGAGAACCGAACGTATTGGAGAAGTGTGGCTGAAGCCCTATGTTCCTCTAGGAACGAAATGAGACAATCATAGTAATTTGTTGTTTTGATTTGTCTTTCGTCTAGGCAGAATAAATACTGTAGGTGTTGGGGGTATAAGATCTTGCCTTAGTATACGTCGTACTATGCGTGAACTTCAACACAACTCATTCTCGAAATAAATATATAAATATATATGGACTCACCATGGATTCTGAGCTAATCAAATTATTCAAATATAAAATATACCAGTTTTTTCGACAATTTGCCATTACAGTTGTATTCAGATCTTGAGGGAAGAATGGCCCGTCGTATACATGAATTAATAAGCCGGTAAAGATAATGATGACTAATAGGTACGCTGGAGTTAGTCTAGCAAATAAATGTGGAGTAGGAAATGAGAGAAGCAGACAGACAATTAGAAAACAAAAGAAATAATAATGCAAATTTGATAAGTTGATAGGTGAAATTAACAAAAAATGTTTTCACATAACTACCTTTGTTTAGTGCGTCGGCAGTTCAGCAGTAGAGGGTTTGCCGAGCATACAAGTGGTCTGGCATTCGAGTCCCGGCTGAAAAACATCTTTACTTCCCTTAACCGGTTATGATCTTGATAAACAAGGGAGGTTGGGCATGAGGCTATCAACCTCACCTAGTAAAAAAACGCCACTGGTAGTGAGACTTCAAAGCTGTAGCTTGTAGCCCTATGTTGCATAAGGAAAGCAGAGGAATAAAAAAGTCTTCGTTCTGCCAATCGATGGAATGCGCTTCTCAAACGTTGGAAAAAGTTTTAGGAAAATAGTTAAACTTTAATGCCAGGCTTTTCTTTTAGTTTACAACATAGCAGCTAATTCTCTAGTAGGCTAAACAAACTAACTAACTCATCATTGAAATTACTAAATAATCATATTTAGCTGGCTGCTTTTATTCATATAAATTAGAATCTGTATTATTCTAAACCAATCTGTAACGGGAAAAGACAATAGACTAAGTAACGGACGTCATTTTATTAGGTAGATAATAAACTCTTCTGATTGGTTGTTGATTTTCTGAAGGTTAAATCTTGACAGAAACAGTTATCCAATCAGATTATTCCCTGGCGATAACGTAAGGGCTAAATTCAGATTTAAGAAATAAACAGTTCTACCACTGTAGACACTGACTGAAAATGCTGTTTTCAATTTTGACTACTTCTTATCAATCTGCTTCTTTATACTACTGATAAATCTTGTCAGTTGCACACACCTCACTTTTTCCCCGTCCATCATATAGTTTCGAGTGGATACGCCCCGATCTTCTGAGTACTATCCACTCTTCTTGCATTTTGTTATCGGATGGCTTGTCCCACTGTATCCCTTATCTGGATTTGGCTGGCATTAATACGATTCTGTTTGCCTCCTCTTCTGATGGTATATACAGGACCACGTCTCCCTGTGACGGTGAATGGTCCTTCCCACTTTGGAAGCAGTTTCCATGGACCTGACACGTATCCAACTGTATACTTTCTTTGCGTAAACTTCACTTGATCTTCGACTGCAAAGGTTATGCATTTAATATTTTGCCCTCTGTTCAAATTTCTTGGCATCCATCTCCTGTTTGTGATTTGCATTCCCAACCGCGTCTCTTCGTTCCGTTCGCAGTCTCGTAATACTCCACTCTTGGTGAAGGGACACTGTTTTATTGTGTAAAGGTAATCGTGCTTTTTTGCCTTACGTCAGCGGAAATTGTGACTTCTTTGTTGTTTCTTTGGCGGTAACACAATGTGCTATTAGAATCAGTTGAAACTCTTTCTCCCAGTTACCTTCCTTTTATGTCAACCACTTCTTTGGTGTACTGTTATTTCTCTCTTTTAGACCATTCGTTTGGGGATGATATGGGGTTATTCTACTCTTATTGATACCCAGCTGATGTAAACGGGAAGTGAATGCTTCACTTTCAAAACAAGGACACTGGTCTGTCGATATCATCTTTGAAGACACCGTGGTCTGCAACGGTTGTTTTTTGGTGTACTGTAGATTGATAGAGTCTCATAATTATTCCCATTTTGATTATTTAACCTACTATGTAATTAGAAGTTAATTGGTGGATGGTGACTAGCAGTGGAATCCAGGATAACGCTCACTTCGTGCTATTTGGGACTCGTCAATGGATGTGCCTGCATTCTACAATGAGTGATGATGTTCCCACCGAGTCTCGAACCCGATGTCCATA